AACAAATTGAAAGAGTCTTTTACATCTTGACACGAATTAGCTAAAGTAGTTTCCGAATTTTCGATATTTTCGTAAGATTTGTGGCTATCATCCGAGTTTTCAATACGGTTATCGCGAGGGTATTCGTTTTCAGTCACCATATGTGACGTAGTATTCCCATCCGATTTTCGCGAATTGACATGAGATTTATGAAGATTATTCTGCGCACGATTGTCCTTGTGTAATAATGTGGCATGTCTCATTCCGCAGATTTTACAGCCTGCATACTTACACTCCATAATTTTATGGCCAAAACGCAGACAATTAGTGCATAACGATAGTTTTTTAACTTGTTCGATACGATCCGGTATTGAGAGTTGCTTAAATTTGTCGCAGAAATAAATAAAGTGTTGCTCTTTACAATATGGGCATTTTGGCTTGAATGTATTTTCTGTGTTAGTATAAAAAGATTTAGATTCGTATTTTTTATTCACGTTCGTGTTTGAGTTATAAGATTTGCTGTCTAAAGTTTCTAAAATTTGACAACGCTGCGATACAAATTTATTGAACTCTTCGGTGGTGGGGTTTTGAAAATGTTTACAATATATCTCCCACTCCTTTTTGCTATTAAAATCCAGCTTCGAGACTAAAATGTAAATTAATATCCTATCCCAATCTTTTACGTTTTCACCCATTGCTTCGAGTGACCTATAAGCTTTAAAGAAAGTATTTGAGAAGCTTCTTAACTGAATGTGAGAATCCCGATTCACTGATGGAATTTCCATGATTTCTTTTAAGTGCGAATTGATTATTATTTTTTTATTATCGTAACGATTTTTTAACAAATCCCAAGCGATTTTATAATTTTCGTCTGTAGCTGTTAATGATGCAATTAATTTTTTCGGCTCTCCAACTAACGCTTCTTCTAAATAACAAAACTTTGCTACATCCGGTATGTTTGCACTATGCACGATAGCTGTAAAAATGTCGCTAAACCGTTGCCACTCGGCATAATCGCCCGTGAATTTAGGAACCTTCAAAAATCCCAGCTGAGATGCAACATTTGGCAATGCCGGCGGCTGTCCGATCGCCGAAACGTTAAATGGTGAAAAAGATGGAAGAAATTGCGCACCGCTACCTCCTGGGGCCCCAGGAGCGGCTCCAGCCACAAACAAGCCGGAGGAAGAACTGATGCCTGAGCCAGGAGCTACCGGCGCCGGCGCCGCTGTCTTCAAATGAAAACTTATTATTTTTTCTGCCTCACCGATTACGTCAAAATATTTGTTTTCGAATGTTTCGCGTTCGTCTTCGAATTGCTGTTCATCGTAATTCTCCGGAATTTTACTCAAGATTAGTTCTTCGATCTCAGTTTGAACTTCTCGAAATCGATTTAATATTGTTTTCGCGTCTTTTAAACGAATTTGGAGTTGTTCGAATTTTGAACTTTCATATTTATCGAGAAATGTTTGAAATCGAGTCATTTCTCGTTTTATGTTGGTTCGATTATTTTTAAAACCTTCCAGTTCGATTTTTGGGTCAAGCCCAATATCGTTCGCGTCACCGTTTTCAGACATTTCGTTTTTGTTTTAAGTAAATAAAATAGTTAAAAATTTAGTTAATTTTGATTAAATTTTGAATAATTAATTATTCACAAAAAATATTATTTCAGACGACGGCACTGGAATAAGCTTATCGCCTTGTTAGTTGCTTGGCGTGAAAATTAAAAAAATAATAGGGCAAATCGAGGAGCAAATAGGGTAATCAACAGTGAAATTAATTAAGCTACAACTATTTATACAAATACGTTCTCAGGGTGGATATCCTTTCGTTCAAAAACTAATAATGTCGTGCAGAACAAAATGCATGCAAAATACGTGATACTGTGATACATTTAACCTTGTTAATCGTGCAAACACCGCGTTTTCGTGTTAATAACGTTTTTAATATTTGATTTTTCGTGATTTTGTGAACTAAGTTTCTAATTGAAACGAGAATCGAGATTATTTTTGTTGTTTATTTCGTGATATTTAAGTTAAACAATTTTTAACTCCACGCGGTGCATAAGGTTATTTGTTTCACGGTTGAAATAGTAATAAAAATTAAAAGGAACGACCTAACCTGTTGTGTTTCGTGATGGCGAGCATATGACGAGCGGTTCGGAGGCAACCGTATTTGTTTCCTTCGATTTTTTCTTCGATTTTCTACAAGCACTTGCACTAATTCTATCGGGTTCGAAGGACCATGTTGCTGGGTTCCTTCGACAGGTAATATTTTGCAGAAATAAGAACCCACTTGTTCAACTTTACGTTTTTAATTACGAGAAAATAAATGCTTGCAGAACAGTACAATTTTTACCAGGCAGAATGGCTGACTATTTACTAGTAACGGCCCTCGGCAACCGCTCCAAGCTCCGCCCTTCAGCTCCACCTTGCGTTCGGTATTTTGCTCAAAGAGCAGAGCGTGCCGAGCGGAGCCATAATCACGTGACCAGTGAGCGAACAGAGCAGTTGAACGCTGTACAAAAGTGCCAGAAATTTTAATAAACGAACGCGAATGAGGCTGCACCGAGTACACTTTTTAAATAAACGAACGGTAAAGTCAAGCTCGGAGAACTCGGACCAAAATAACGAACGCACGGCCAATATTCCGACGCCGAGTGACATATGACAAGCGCGGTCGCGCCAAGTTTTCAGGGCTTTAGCCGTGTTGCCATATCTAATAATATGATACTAATACAAATAAATGAAATAAATCCTTAACTCTAACAGATGAATCATCATCACTGAAGTAAGAAAAAAAGGGACCAGGGTAATGTAAACAAGCTATTGTACCTTTCTTTTCTTATCTATTTTTATATTCGTTATTCGGCAGTAGACTGCGTGTAGGGATAAGCTATTAAAAAAATAATAATTATAAGCGATGATCCTAACTGCTCTTCAAATCGGAATTTTGGTAAGCTACTTCTAGTTGAGCATGTTTGGTATTAGACTTTAAGCTTTTGGCTGTAGATGTTTTCAATGACTTCCTCAAGTTGCGATTCACTGATATCCAGGGAGTTATATCACGTCTATTTGCTGAGTCCTCATTTAAAATGCTTATTCTGCTTTTCAGCTTATTATAAATATATGTATTTTCTTAGGATAGTTAGTCAGTTGAAATTTATTATACTTATAACTTTTATTGTAACGTGCTTTCGCTAGTAATAATTTCGAATTGTTAATAAAGTCATTTTTTTAAAAACCAACCCTCGGTTGCTGACTTGTTAACTGGCGCAGTCGACAGGACGTGTTTTTTCGGGACTGTTTATCGGTTCTTCGGTATTCGGACTAACCGAAAAAATCGGACTTACGTTAATTGTTTACTGTGAGGTGTCAGAGTGGCTTTCTAGATATCGAAACACCCAGTTCATCGTGAACCTGTTACCTCGAAGTAATCGGAGTTTGGAACCAAATTGTCCAAATCTCGCAAGGACCAAGAACCATTTGGAAGGACCATATCGCCAACCAAACCTCTGGGACTTATAGCAATGAAATTCTTCTTATTCAGTCTGTAAGTGCAATTTAACTTATGTCTGACGTAAATGAAATAATTGAAAAATTGAATAATTTATCATTACCGCCTTCAACTGACTCATCTTCTGATTCGGAAGATTTAATTAGAATAATTAATCAAACATTTTCTGAAAGTAACGGTGCCGAAAGCACATCTTTTGATAATCAAAACATTTGCATTGTTCCGAATTTAAACTCTAACAGTATGGCTCATTTCAAGCCAGAGTACCTTAGTTGTGTACCACAATTTGACGGAAATCCGAATGATTTGAACAGATATTTATCAGTATGTCAAAGCCTCATTGATGCTTTCTATAATGCTGCTCAACCAGATAGTTTTCAGAACATTTACTTGCTGAACTCGATAATCGGTAAATTAACCGGTAACGCAAAATTAGTTTTGGGAACCCAAAATGTAACAACTTGGGACCAACTTAAAACTATTTTGGGCAGGCATTTTGCTGACCAGCGCGATGAAGCTTGTTTAAATCGCGATTTAGTAATACTTAGGCAACAAAATGGTGAAAAACCCAGTCAATATTACGATCGTATTTTACATATTTTAAATCTTTTATGTTCCTACGTGGATATTCATGAAACAAATGACGCTGCAAAATTGCTGAAACCAAAGAATATTATAGACTAACGACGTTAGTCTATAATATTCTTTGATAACACTTAATAGTTTTAATAATTTTCACATACATTTTATATTGTAATCAGGCATTTCGAAAACCCAATAAAAAAAAGAAGGCGGGACGGCCCCATTGTCCTGTTATCTGAAGAATATAAAAGTTTTTACACCAACTGAAAACTTGAATGCAACTAAAGAGAATAAATAATAATCAGAGTACCTATAATTGCTGATACACAAAGCACTATGACTCTAAGCCAAATTGTCTTCATTCCTGGATTCGGATTTATGGATCCGTGGATATAGAAATCGTCTTCTGATGACTGAATCAGAATTGTAATTTTCCTTGTCCACAAGTATATTTTCGCAATACATTTTACAATAAAAGCAAAATTAATCGTTATTCAAAAAATGGCTAATAGCACCAAGAATGAAATTCTCAGTCCAGCATCGAAAATAGACCAACTTAGAGGAAATGTAGGTCAAAATCTGCTAAAATAAAACCAGAATTTAGCTCAAGGTGGTAATATTTGATGAACGATTTAACGCACTTGTGTTCTCGTTAAATCGAGTGACTAATTATTGTAATTTAGAACTTGTGAATTCTTTGATCATCGATATGCATCACTAGTGTTTATTTTTAAAATCCAAACAAGTGTTTATTAGTCAATATTACTTAACACTAGTAAAGGTTGGCAATGGACTTACTTTCACAATAGACTTGTGCACAAAAATAGCTTTCAATTTTGTATTGTTGCTACTTACTTTTTATTCATAGTGTAAAATCAAATCCAAACAAAAATAGGCAAACACCAAGCAGGCAAATCAAAACTTACATTTTTCTTTTGCTGTCCCTCCCTGAAATGCCAAAATGCCGGCCTATGATAAGGCATATTTTATACACTTTTAATTCTCAAACTGGATTTTTGTGTATAATTTCGGAGGCGTTTAGCCTGTTAAAAACTATTTTTAGGTTTTCTCCCTGCGAATTAAGAATTACACAATCGGGTTTTGCCAGTAGAATATAAAATCTCGCTGGCTGTGCAAAAGTGTGGGGGGTCTTTAATAAATTCGAAACGTTTTGCCAAAAATCCCTGGCTTTCGAGCCCACACATCAAATTAAAACAACGACATTATAAAGAAAATTTTTAATTTATTTCGGAACGAAAAATCAAAAAGGCAATAATTGTCGCAGAAAAAAAAAACACGGTATTGTCAATTTGCCAAAATACAATTTCTTATATTATCCATTCACAATACGATGTCCATAGGTACAGGTAAAATTTATCACCTTTCAATGCTATTTTATAGGGAAAGAAGATAAATTTACCTGTACCTGTGGACATCGATTGTGAATAGGATATAATTTTAAAGTTAGACAATAATATTATTAATAAATAACCTTATCAATTAGATACAAATATTTACAACAAAATTGTTTTTTTTTTAAAGCTTACAGTTGTGTTTGATTAGTTAGAAGAAGTAGAAAATTGAACAATGTAAACGCATTCAAAAGTGGGACAAAGACAAAATTATAAGAGAGACCACTTAAAATCATTTACAATTATTACAAAAAAAAAAGGATAGCAACACTATTTCCAAACAAATGATCACGTTTATTACAGAGCTAAGAAAAATATCTTAAAAATATCAAAAACTGAATTTTTAAATATCAATATCAGCCATGATTTTAATTTAAATTGAGATCAGAAAACGAGCAAATTGTCCCAAAAGTCTACTAGTGGTAATTTGACGTCAAAATTGGAATTTATTTGGGAAAATCTGCACCTGTTTCATTACTACAAAAAATGATATTACAGAAAATTTTGATCATAAATAATTACGTCAGAATTTTTGTAAATCATTCATTGAAAATTCCTGCTCTCAGTGCGGTTGATTACGTTTTCTTGTTGGAACAAACACACAAATTCAGTCACATAAATAACTTTCCAATTCATAAATTAACAAATAAACAATCTGGCAACAAATTTGTATATAAAATTAATCTAATAAACTTAACCTAAATCCGCCAAAATTGCACAACAATAATTGAATTATTTACAAGAAAAATATCATCTTGAAGGCAATTTTTTTTTCACTTGATGAACTCAATATTATCATACTCAAATTTACCATATTAATATAAAATTCATCAGCTACATTATCCTACTATACAAAAATAAATAAATCTGCTATTTACTAATTTATAAAAAAAAAGTATCTCGTAAACAATTTTCTCTTGTGATTTATATCAATGTGATGTTAAACCATAATTTTCATTAAGCCTGCTTGACTGTTGGCCCCGACGCTGGAATCTTCCAAAGAGTCCAAATCCAGAGCGCTTTCGATCATTGTGGTGTCTTGCAGTAGCCTCAATCTACACAGAACCAACAATCATTGAAAATTAACTCAATTATGAATAAATTGAAATAGTCTTTAACATTAACTTTTGTCCCTGAAGATTATTTTAATCAATTATTTTGATCTTGAGATCAAGTTATGTCCAGTGCCGGATTTACCAATATTCCGCTCTACGCCTGTTGAAAAAGGCCGCCCTCATGTTGGCTATAACAGTAAAACCAGAATTTCAAATTTTGAATTTATTTTCACAGCTATAACGCTATTTACATATTATATTGGAGAAATATTGCAAGTGCTTGTCTTATTAAGACAAGCCTTATTACTTATTTCGACAGCTGCGCATGCATAAGGACAGCCTTATTAAGGATAAGGATCTGCCTTATTTAGGAGAAAATAAGACCTTCCTTATTTTTGCCTTATTTAAAAGTTCTTAGTCGATCGGAGATGATCGGTAGGACTCGCGAACTGGGTTTTGTTATGTTATGTGTTTATAACCATAGATTTTAGATTCATGATAACAAATTTCAAGCCAAATTTTGACTTTTCTTGAATTTTTTTTTCCAAACTTTGAGAAATGAGGCAAAATCAAAACAGCATCGACGCACAGACAAGAGGAAGACTAAAGGTTTGTTTGTTTGTGTCGCACTAACTTAAACTAAGCTGTAATATCTCAGATTATGGCAGATAAACCATATAAAACGCTCACAAACGAAGGCCCCAAAGCAGGAAGAGCTGCCCCGAATAACGGGTCAGTTAAGTTAGCCCCCCCCCCCCATAGAAAATTTCTGGATGAAAATTATCCCATAATTTTGCTCTCATTTTGCTCCACTAATTTCGATTTTTGCTCCATTACAGTGGAGAGACTATGTGGTCTATTAGGTGGGGGGGGGCTGAATTAACGCTAGCCCCCCCCGGTGAAAATTTTGAAATTTGATCATGCTCATTTTGTTCTCCGAGTTTTGCTCCACTATCGGCGAGTTTTGCTCCATTACCAGGAGAGACTTACAGAGCTTCCAAGAATCTCTCCCAGCCCCCCCCCCCGGTGAAAATTTTGAAATTTGATCATGCTCATTTTGTTCTCCGAGTTTTGCTCCACTATCGGCGAGTTTTGCTCCATTACCAGGAGAGACTTACAGAGCTCCCAAAAATCTCTCCTAGCCCCCCCCGGTGAAATTTTTTAAATTTGCACATGCTCATTTTGTTCTCCGAGCTTTGCTCCATTTTGCTCCACTATCGGCGAGTTTTGCTCCATTACCAGGAGAGACTTACAGAGCTTCCAAGAATCTCTCCCAGCCCCCTCCCGGTGAAAATTTTGAAATTTGATCATGCTCATTTTGTTCTCCGAGTTTTTCTCCATTTTGCTCCACTATCGGCGAGTTTTGCTCCATTACCAGGAGAGACTTACAGAGCTCCCAAAAATCTCTCCTAGCCCCCCCCGGTGAAATTTTTTAAATTTGCACATGCTCATTTTGTTCTCCGAGTTTTGCTCCGTTTTGCTCCATAATCGGCGAGTTTTGCTCCATTACCAGGAGAGACCTAGAGAGCTCCAAAGAATCTCTTCTTGCCCCCCAGTGAAAATTTTGAAACTTGAAATTTCGAGTTAGTCCGAAATACTCCGCCTCCAATTTTACACATTCGAGCGAACATAGTTTGGCGCTCTCAAGCTGCTTTCACTTTCCTCGCCTGTTTCCTCTGACGCACCTGTAACTGATTTTCAAGCGTTCGAGTGCAAAGCGCATTGAGTATAATGGGCGTGAAATGCTCGTGCTTCGCACACTGCACCCGAAAGCGGCTCTGGAATGAACTAGACAGCTCCCAGGAATCTCTCCTTGCAACACGTATGAAAATTTGGAAGTTTTGCTCCATTACCTGGAATGACCTACGAGCTCCTAAGAATCTCTTCTAGCCCCCCTTACACCAGTTAAAATTTTGTTTGATCATATTAATTCTGTTCTCCGAGTTTCGCTCCGTTTTGCTCCATGATCGGCGAGTTCTGCTCCATTACCTGAGCCTGAGCTGCTTTCGGGTGCCACGCTTTGAGCAATCAGGCGCTCTGAAGCTGCTCTCATTTTCCTCGCCTCTTTTTCCTGATGCACCTGTACCTAACTGATTTTCAAGCATTTGAGTGCAAAGCGCATCGAGTATAATGGCTATGAAGAGAATGGTGGTCCCTGGTTTCACTAGCTTTGTTTGTTTATTCGCACCAACAAGGCACCAACCGACACTTTCTACACCAAACGTGTTTGTTTATCCAAGGTTTATTCCTATATATTTTTTTTTGTATGGGTCTGACAGAGACAAACTGACTTTTTGGTGCACCTGGTGCAGACTGGTGTAACTTTGGTGCAAATAGACAAACAGAGCCCGCAAGAAGCCCTGTTAGTTAAAACTAATTTCGATCCTTTTTTTTTTCACGTGCTTCTAGAAAAAGACTGAAATAGTCTAAGTACGCACTGAATTTACAACTGGGAATCGCTTGCAAAAATAGTTATTTATGTCATAAATAAATACCGATAATCAAGCTCGTTTGCTCGAGCGCCCATGTTCGCAGCAGTGAAATGTGTTCCGAATGATTTTATATTGACATGACCGTGCAAATCGGTGAGACAAAGATGGCGCCTATTTTCAAGTGAACAAATTTGACAGACGTCGTAAATTATAGGGACAGCCTTTTATTCTTCCGAAATAGCTATTTATAGCGGTGATCTTTTTTTAACTGTCAGTAATGTACTCAGTTACTTTTGGTGACGATGGTATTTGCTGCAAATCGTTCCAAAATCAAAATTCAGTTTACTGATTTACTGGCTTGGCAAGCTTTTGAAATCCACAATGACATATGCGCATTTTCACCGATGTAATGCTGTCCTTGTCATTTGACAGCAGCAAAACAAAGATAGGTTACTCCTCATCAAGAGAAATGCGCATAAGCAATTGGTGAATTCAAAAACTTGGCCTTCCTTCAAGAACCCTAAACCTTAATAGAATGGCTTATCTAGCTGTCTGCCATGTCCACGCGAAAACTCCCCACCATTTGTGTCATTTTGACGTCAATGTAGACCTCAAGACTTCAGTGACGTCACGACTAGTCGAAAAGCGAACGTACGCCTTATGCCTCATTCTCACTTGCGCGAAATTCGCTCTTCTTTTGACATTGCTTCGACAATTTGACGTTTTATGTGTGTATCAAACGTCAAATTGTCGAAGCAATGTCAAAAAAGAGAGAATTTTGCGCAAGTGAGGCTTTATGGGGAAAAGCCATCCTGTTAGTTGACGGTTGTTGGCCTTCCTTTATCCAATTTTCTTGCTCTTTCTTTCTGTTCCAAACCGTTCCTTGTTCACTTTGGAGCAGAATGAGTTTATCTGACGGCCGTTCCCATATTACATTAGTTGTATTCCTTTCACACCTAGGAGGAACTCCGGAACAGCTCCGGGGCTTCACGCGCTTATTCCTTTCGAAAAGTGTTTGTTGCAACACGCATCTGTTCCCTGCAAATCGGGGGCGACTGAACACCGGAGCGAGTAGCTCGAGTGTTTCAAACTCATGAAAGGAATACAACTATTGCGGAGCATCCGGAGCAAATGTTTTTCCACCGGATTTAAAAAGAAATCTCGCGAATTTCTTTAAGTAAATGTCAATAGCGCTTTTCAATTCAGAACAAAAAAATTATGATTACAAAAATAATCTGTAATCTGTGTAATCGGGATTGAGCGATCGTTTGTACCTATTTGTTTTTTTATTTTACTTTTGCGCCCTGCTCAGTTCGTAATTTGCGTAATTTGTATGTTGTTTATTATTATGATGACAGATCACAGGATTGCGAGCGTAATTTCACAAACCGTTCCATTATTCAAGTCTTCCTCCCCTTGCTCTGGGTTCACGTGACTAAAAATTCCTCTCGCTCCAATCTACTCCCGGATTGGTTATTGAACGTAAGGTTTGAACAAATTGACGTCACGGATGCGTTCGTCACTAATTTAGTACTATGTTTGCTGCATTTGGAGAGTACCGTTCCAGTAAAAACTATGAAGGCGGGCTCGACGGGCTGTTCGTTGTTTTGTTCAAAAAGTCAACCTCAACGACACTCGTCGTCGTGGTCGTCGTAATTTTTTAATTGTTTTATCCTGCTCTGATCCATCGAATTTGAAGTAGCACGAAAGAGCGTTCAGTACCTACTCAACTTTTGGCTTTGTCAAGGTAATACAGCATTCAGTTTATCGTACTGACGCAGAAATCCGTACTGCCATTTAAAAAAAGAACATAGCCTATATAACATGTACCATCGTCACCAAAAGTAACTGGGACAGCATCACATTAGCTCTTGTCCTATTATATGAATTTTATCGGCAAATATTTGTCAAACTATGATTTAAATGCATTGAAATGACTGACAGTAGAATTAGTCCAGGAGATTATTATGCATTATTTGTGTCCCAGATACTTTTGGTGACGATGGTACCTACTTCAGGAGCAAGGATCGAAGGATCTACCGGGAGTACCGGATGTTCCAACGAGGACTGAACAGGGCCTTAATTTCGACTTTTCTTGTACCTATTTTTGGACAAAACTAATGGCGTTTCCGATTGGTAGATTTAGTGCGGAACTAGTGCAATTTTTTCTATTTCTGTCTTTTTCTTCCACAGGTCGATTGAAAGGATGCAAATACACTCAGTGCGCACTAAATTTACCAATCGGAAACGCCATAAAATATCAGTTATATATATAACTTTTTCGGTAGAGTTCAAAAATGCTACTTGGGAAACAATTGAACCTCAGACAAAAGAGTTATGACGTACAATTTAATTTTTCTCCGAATGACAGTAAAAGCAGCCTTTTATTGGCACTTGACAGGATCAAAAGTTGTATTTTTACTGTCTACACTGAGAAAATTTTTTCATTGTCATAGCTAATTTTTCTGCTGCCGTAGCCAAAAATTTTGGCTACATATAGGGGACAGCCAAGATCTTTACTACCGCCGAAAAGATAACTTTCTCTCCTGGTAATGGAGCAAAACTCGC